GTCACTGGAATCTATAAAGAGATATTCTGGAAGTCAGCATCTCTCCGTGTCTTCATTGATGCCATCCATTACACACTACGTCAGTTTCGTCATGAATAACAACCAAATTTAAGCGTCTTTCCTTCTCCTATCCTATGTTCCTGCCTTCTTTCTTCCCTCTTTTCTTCTACCTCCTTTATTCGGGCAAACGGACGGCCCGTACGCCCCCCTCCCCCCGGATCCGCCAATGTTGACCCTTGCACATCAGTTTTTCGGCTGTAGCTCACCCCGCGCCGAATCCTGGATGATCGGGAGCGGCGACCGCAGTCCGGTTACCGGACCCACCAGCGAGTATGAGCGGGAGTATCATGACGGGTATTTTGCAACTAATGGAAGTTGGGGGCCCGAGGGCACGGGGGTCTCCTTGCGGCCTGGGCCGCGCCGGTGCTGCGGTTTGTCAATGGGCGCCCACGCTGCGGTGAGGCAACTCCGGCGCGCAAACCACATGTTTGCTCAAAGAGCCCCATATCCGCACGGCCCGACCGCGACGGAGCCGCAGAAATAAGTCCGACTGTCAGTGTCAGAACGTCTCCCGAGGCCCGACTCCGGACTTCTGACGCTTCTGACAGGGTGCCGACAGGACCCTTTTTTCGAGCCAGAAACCTCCATTTTCGACGGACGGATGACGTGCCCCCGGGGCTTCCGACTCGAGGAACCGCGCCCCAGATTTTGTCGCCCCTCTGACGTATGGCCGTATCTCAGTTTCCACGTGAGCCCTGTTTTATATATGAATCCATGCTTTCTGGGGCTCATGCGGAAATTGAGAGCTCTTACGCCAGAGGAACGAAGATTTGCCAATGGATAAGTACTCAGTAAGAAAAAGTAATCAGAATTTGTAAGTTCCCTGACGAAAGAACGTAACGCCATGCGAAAGTTGCAAAATGACTCAAACATTTTAAGTTTTCTTAATTATACGACTGCAATATTTGTACAAAATTTTCCTAGGTTTTGAGTATAATCAGCTAAAACAAAAATCTTGAAATTTTTTAGACTGATGTGGTCAACAGTTTTACATCTGAGTAAAATTTTGCGAAATTGAAATGTCAAAATCAGTAAACTGCAAAGGGAAGAAAGAGCCACATTATATCTGAAAGAAATTGTTGATGCTTGAATATTCGCACTGAGTTTTTTCTCCGCGCGGCATTGCAACTCTGCCATGCTAAGGAAAAACGCTGGATAAACATTCGAACGTTGCCAAATCTCCACCGAATAAATATTTATTTACGAAAGAGTCTCCGAACATTTCTCCTTAAAATTTTCAAAAATGGGTGGAATTCCGAACAAAATCCGTGAAAAATCTTGGAGAATATTTGCAACCCTCACATGATTCATACTGCATTGAAGGAAATTTGGCAACGTCGAAAGTCCGATGGAGCGTTTTACACCTCAGCATGGCGTCAGAACTGAGCCACTCGCCGAAATTTCCACGTCCGATTTGGCAGAGGTGGGATCATCGATATCGCTTCGGATTTCGAACCGAGTTGGCGGGCAGCGAGCGTCGCGACGCGCGAGTTGGGCTAAACAACCCCCCTTCCCCTCCCCCCGCGCGGTCGGCCGGCCGGCGTGGCCCCTGGCCGGACACGGACATAAAAAATGAAAACACGAATGCATAAAATTGGCACAGAAAAGTTCGACGCTCGGCGGAGTGGTGGCGGCGGCCGCTGACAACTAGGGCAGAGTTTAGAAAGGAAGGCCGGTCCCGACTCGCGGAAAAACGACGTATGTGCCTGCGGGAATAGCGGAGGATTCGCGCGGTTTTAGCCTAGCGCCGAGTGCACGGAGCCGCCTCGCACCGACACCACGCACGGCGAACAAACTAGTTTTGGATTTGATTTCGCTCGAAACGCTCTTGAAGCGCGGCAAAGACTTCGGTTCGTGCGCCCCGCCGAACTTTACCGTTTGAGCAGGGTTGGGGGAGGGGGTGCAGAAATTTCCCGATCTCGCGCCCGCGCGAGGAAATGTGTTAGGAAGGAAAGGTCTGAAGAATCAAAAGTCGAAAGTCGAAGGGGAAAGGAGAAGAAAGGTCATCTTTTTTTAAATTGGCGGAAAATTCTGTGCAAAACCGATAAGGGAAATGTGAGAAGCTGGCAAACGGTTGCGCGAAAATGTGGGAGCCTGGAAGATTCTGCACCCCTGCGGACATCCGAAATTGGCGCGGTTATAAAAACCGAACTAACGCTTAGGTAACGAGGTTTTTCGACAGCCGAATTGAGACACGCTTTTCCCAGGAAAAAGTCTCTTCTCCGAGATGGCCGCATGGAGATAGGGGATGTTCTGAGCTTGATACGTTGCAAGAGGGATAATCAAACCGACGGTACTGCATCTGACGTTAAGGTCAGTGCCGATTTTCAAAATGTTTTGATGCAAAATCAAAGTGTGTCCAAAGGTGGTCATTTTCATCTCAAAAGGTCAATTTTGTGGGAGATGGCACCGAATAGATCGTTGCTTAATTTTGTCTCCGGGGATAGACCTATAAAGTTCGGCTACGTTGTGAGGGAAGGGGGTAGTCAATAATCAGATTTTCAGCGCTACAACTTTACTTCGCTCAACTGCAGCTCTAAAACTCCGGGAACCTGCCTATTAAGCTTTAGAAAGCCACATGATTCGAAATTATACCGTCGTATACGAAATTCATTGGGTAATTATTTATCAATTATTCTCCATGATGCAAGTAACAAGCGTATAGTCCTTAAATGTAGAGAGCAAAGGCAGGCTGCATTATAGGAAAATCTCGAAGTCAAATGTTGATAACTTTTAGAAGTTTGCAACAAGCGAGCGGCGGCGCGCCTCGGAGGCGCCTGGAGGAATAAGCCTGCAGTTAGTACCTTTTCTGTCTAGTATTGGCAACTGCATTAGAGGAATTTTTCTCAATTGAAAACCCAATCAAACTGAGCAGTACGATTTCGGAACCATCAACTCTACATTTTTAAATTTTACATCGAATATTATGAGGATAAGTAAAATCAAATTAAATCTATTTTTACACGACGAAATGAACTTCGTCGGTTGGATTCAATCCTAATATTTTAAAAATGTATTTGACTACAAAAATAATGACAAAATTTAAGGCAGAAATTGGTGCAAGAAGGCTACTACAATTTAGATGTAAACAGCATCCATGAAGACATCCGCAGAGATTTCCATTAAATTTTTGATTCGATTAAAATATTACGTATCCAAAAATATGTATTAATGCAGTGAGCACTGATTTTAAATGCAATCACTTTCATTCATTTAAATAATCCATTTAATTAGATTTGTGGATTGTAGGCAAGGATAATTTCATTACCCTGGTCGAAGTCTGAAGGATGATAAAACAACCTCTCACAAGTAACCAAATTTTATGAGTCGCTGCCATTTCAAAGGGTTGAGAATATAATATTTTAAACTTTCGATTTAGACATTGTTTTGCGTGCACTCCTATTAAGTTTAATATTTTTGAGATGTGATAAATTAAGAAATATTGGATTCGAACGATCAGCCTGTTTCCTACATTCGTCAATAAAAAATCCTCCGGAGTTTTCAGGCAGTACCTGAGGGGTCCACTTACAGAAACTTAATCAAGTTATTCGGATTTGCACGCTCTAAGCAAGGAGAAAGAAAAGAGGTGGTCCACCTGAATATGTATAAAAAAAAAATTTCGAAACAAGCAGACAGCTGCATCGAATCCCTATGCGTAGATTCAGATTTATTCTGCCTAATTATCAACGATGTAGTGTTTTGCTTCTACAAAAATTAGGAAAAAATAATCTAAAATCCCCCTTGTTGTGTCTTGTAAGGATTTAAAAGTTGTAAAGTGTGAAGAAATATCAGTATGGAAATTCTCTGGCAAGTTTGTAGAGTTAGAGAAAGAGTATCTTGATCGATTTAAAAAAAAAAAAAAAAAAAAAAAAAAAAAATTATTTATTCATCGCTATGCCGTGATTAAATCTTCAATAATTGGCTCAAAAGCTTCATTGATTTGTAATTTCATCTTTAGTTGTCGTAGAAAAAGCTCAGATTGTGATGATTTGGACAGTGGATAGCTCGCAGCCTCCAACGAATTACTCCCGTACGTCCGGCTCAATATGCTTCCAACTACTTTGATTTTGATTTCGAAGTGCCCACTTAAGTTTAAGAGCTTATGAATTAAAAGAAAGATCTGTTCTGGAATCTTCTGATGTGTGAACTTTCGGAGAAAAAAAGCGAGAATTATTAAAAATTAATTCTCAAATGAAAATATTATTTTGCAGGCATGGAAACACATTTACGCTGTTTCAGCTAATTTCAATATTATGATAGGTGCTAAGTTTTTCTTCTCCGTTATCAATCATCATTCCACACATGTCATTCAAGTTTGATCTCGTTTCGCCAAAAATTCGAAGATCTTATCTGACCCCGGAACATCACAACTCCTTTCATTTTGAACTTTTCGCCGTCGAATTTGAGCTTAAATTCCCGTGGTGCCGTTTTTCAGCAATGCCGCTGATTACTTGAACGTATACTCATGCGCAAACTGTGTGAAAATGACTGAAATTTGAAGGAACTAAATTAATAGTATTTGACTGTTATTTTTGATTCATCTTTATTTGCACAAAAGGCATTTTGGCAAAATTATGTTCGAATAATGTTTAAAATTGAACCGATAAAATTTCCTCTTCCAGAACCGATCTCAGATTTTAGGGGCTTGGAGGACAAGGTGTACAAGTGCAGTTTTTGCTATTTCGAGAAATACGTCTTGGAAGTTTCGAAATCACGCGGATTCTTAGAGCGAAAAGAAAGTTCAAACTGACATTTTGATGCATGCTTAAAAATTTGAGTCTGGGAACAAATTTTTCACAGTATATGCATGAAGACTACTTTAACTTGAAATTATTACTATCTCAATTTTTTCAAAAACTGCACTTACGCGCCTTTTCCTCCAGGCCCTCATTTGTCATAAGTCACGGACAACGGAGAAAAAGAGAAAAAAGGCGACAAACCTTGTCTTTTTTTCACTCTCGGGGTCGGTGTGGTCCCGTCCTTTGCGGACGCCGTCGACGTCTTGAGGATATCTTGAGAACTTACAAACTCACAGCAAACACCAATAACGAGCACCACAAATAATCCGTTTGATCGTGACATTTTCACCTTCATTTTTGACTTAGAAATACAACTGGGAGAAATCCGAACTGAGGGGCCACCCGCGCGGGTTCCGACCGGTCGATAGCTACTGATCCGAGGGGGTAACTAGGACTAAGAAGGGATGCTCTGAGGGTGGACTATGCACATGGCTGAAGGGGAAACACAGAACTGGACACTGCCCAAGCGGACCGCGGACTGATCGGGATCGTTAGCGGACTGAGCGACTGCGACTGCGCTGATTGTGACCCACTCTCACCTCGACGCCGATCTTTCACAAACTGCTAAGAAAATCGCCCGACTGCCACAGACCCGTCGCGACAGGCGCCCGCCCGAGTGGGGGCGGCCGCCGCAGCGCCCTCGCAGACGGGTGGTGAATTGCGGAACTATTCTGACGTCACGTGCTCTCCATAATATCGATAGGGTTGATAGGGCATCAGATGCATTTTGATCGAGATAGATCCTCCTCTGGAGCCTTTCACCGGATGTCTTGAGTTCTTGTCGCTATGATGGTTGGTCTGCCGATTGAATCAGTGAGAACAAAAACACACTAACTCGAAAAAATGAGAATAATCAAGACACACAAGAAGTTAGTCCAAGAAATGATTTTTGATGCCTAAAGACTGGTACTTTAGGACACTTTAAAGGTCCAAGTTGGAACAGATGCGCTAACTTCAATGACCTTTATGAAACTGACTGTCTTTAATAAAAATTGAGCATTTTCGAGTTACGAGTTGGTGTAATTTCGTACTCAATGATTCGATCATGATCCGAACTGAACGAAAAAAAGACAAAAAATTCACTCAATCATGAAAAGTGTCACTTTTTGTTTTTCGTTATAACCCTAGCATGACTGGTGCGGGTCTATAAGGATGAGGTTAAAAGCATGAGAGTCATGTATCATACCCGCACGGGCCGGGAGTTTTGAAAAAAATACTTATGCGTTATCGCTTAATGGGGCTCATAACATGTGTCCAATTGGTGTGATTTATTTAGAAATAAGAAAGAGGAAGGAGATGAAGAAATTGAAGGGGACAAAGTGGAAGAAAAGAGGTAATGAAGAAAAAGAAGAATAAGACGAAGGAGAGGAGGATGCTCAGAGAGGACGATGAAGTGGTAGAAGAAGATAAAGTAAAAGAGAGAGAAGAACCAGAAAAACATTAAGAAGAACATGAAAAAGCGAAATAATTAGATAAACATTTCCTCATGTACTTCTTCCTTCTTTGCTTCCTCTTCTCCTTTCTCGCCATCAAATTTTTCTTTCTCTTTTTCCAATTCTTCCTATTTTCCTTCTTCCTGTTGATCATCTTCATTTTTCCACTTCTTTTTCCCTTCCCTCTTCCTCTTCATCATAATTACTTCCTCTTTTTCTTTTGGATTCCAATGCGTCTCCATCTAACATATGTTAGGGATCTTGAGATGTTGCTAGTATTGGCTTCTTAAAAAGTATTCCTATAAGGATATTCAAGATCCGAATCTTTCGGACTAATAAAATCAGGAGCCACTATTTCTGACTAATCCTCAAAAGTACCAAACTTTAAAAGGACACTGATGACAGGTATGCTGTTCTTACGAAGATACAGAAATAACACAGTTCCTTCTTTCAGAATTTAGTCCAGGTAGAGTTATAGTAAAAATTAGAACCTTTTTCGGAGGCTCGTGCTAAATAAACTCTCAGGAAAGCCACATTTTTCTTGCAATTTCAGCGTTTCTAGAAATATTTTTCTCGGAATTTCAGCATTTCCTGTAATATTTTGTTCCCAGCATAATTAAAATCATCACTCAGTTGCATTGAAGGTCGTATGCATGGATTTGCAGACGCCCTAAAATATCTCAATAGGATGCCGCCCGCCAAATGTAGGTTGAAATGTCAGTTTTCGACTCAAGACGAATTACTTAATTTGCATTTGAACAAACATCCATATACCGTTATTATGCAGGTTGGAACACAATATATCATAATCGCCGAAATGAAAAATGCAAATCGGAATGATTGTCGAGAAAAGCCGGTCTTGCCAAAAGCAACGAATTGCACACTTCTGCATCAAGGTCTGCATCGAGACTTCGAGACCTTCGCATTTATCTCCGGTACACTCTAATGTTTCAGCAATAAAACTGAGGCATTTTGGTGGGCTTAAAATTAGATTTCATATTTTTTCCTCCCTATTTCAAACACCCACAAACACACAACAACACAATTTCCGTTAACAGTGACGGAAAATATAAAAAAAAACGAGTAAAATGATGCTTTATCTAATTAGAAAAATACGACCAGAGTCAGCCTAACTGCATATCAATGTTGCTGAATTTCTTCTCGCATATTACATTTTATTAGGAGAATCTTAGGCACGACTCACTAAAAATTTCACTGATTCCTCCTCTGTCGTCATCCAAAAATCAGAGAAATTTTGGACAAACATTACTCGGGTATACATTCTTGTGAAAAAATGAATTGGTTACGTCAATTCTTAAGCATTGGAATGAAGTTACCTTCCTTCGTCCGAGCAACGACGAATTTTTTGGTGATGAAAAGGAGAGATTAGGCAACGTCTAATTGTTAATTGAAAATAGTAAACAATAGCATTTTGTGAGCTATCTACTGTGAAGCAAGCGTATGAGATCCAAGGTAGAACTGTCTGGGAAGAGTAGAAAAGAAAATGATACTGCGTAATAGGGTTGTACAAAATACAGAGGGTGAACTGATGAAGTGTAAGATATTTATGCACCTTACTTCTTTTTACAGCTTAGCTTACTTTAATTTTTAAGTTAGTAGTTAAACATTAAACGATGCTCCAGCTTTCTACCCGGGCGTTTAAGTCTCTACGTATGTGAGCAGAAAAAATGTACAGAGACCCTGAGAACTGCTAAACTTTTCCTGTTACATTTACTTTGAACTGAACTTTGTCTTTTTTTGTTTATTAAAATTAAATAAAAAATTTACAGTTTCAGACTAGGTATATCAATTAGCGCCTCCGAAGCTCATGATTTAGTACGATGTTAACTTCTACTTCGTTTTCAGCGGCGTGCGAACAGGTTTATGCTAAAAGTGGTGATTCCAGCAAGTTGGCAACACTGTCAATACTCCATTTAAAGTAATTGAATATATCGATTTTAGACGAGACAGCCTGCCTCACATGGAATCGATTGTTTAACCTACATTTAAATGGAGAAAAAATAATCTTGCCAACTTGCGAGAATAGCACATCTGAATGAGCGCATTTGTTTTTCAAGTGCATAAATTGCTATTAGTGGTAAAGCATGAATCATTGACTATCGATTTTTACTCATTTAAAACTATGGTAAAAAATCGATTGTTACGGTGTTTATTTCAAACAAATCGATAAATGATCATTTTCTATTGGTATAAATAACACATCGATCGATTCATCACAAAACACGACACGCTAACGAAAGCCACTCTAAACATTTCGCTTCGACCGAACTTTAAAACTGATCGATTAAGCCGTGACAAAGTGCGCCGTCAAAATGCAATCTGATCTCACAGAATATCATGTTACAGACTGGTTGCCAAATAGATATTCAGAGTTTAAACGATGAAAAAAAAAACCAATACAATATGCTTTTTCCCAGAAATCCAAGAAATGCGTTTTATCGTCGCTCCTCTCACGTAGGGTGTATCCCAATTTCTATGTGAACCCTATTTCGCATATAAATCTATGCTTTCTGGGGCTCATGCGGAAATTGAGTTACGCCCTTACGTTAGAGGAGCGACGTTTTGTGCCATTCATGTATCCAAACTACCAGAATTGATACTTAAAATTAAATGCACTTTCTTACTTCTAAATGTAATTCAAGGCAGGAAAGACAGCTCTAAAGTATAGTCATATGATATGCTTAAATTATGACCTTTTAGTTCATACTTCAAAATCAATACTCCAAGGGAATTGACAACAATGTTACCTTCTTATTGTTGAACTATGAAGCTGTGCGATTTTCTTGCTTTTTGTAAAAATTTCAGTTCCAATTTTGTGGATCTGTTTTGCAGGCTCGTGATGTCTTGTCACGATTTTTTCTGCGGAATATGACGACAAGCGATTGCAGAGGTAGTTTTTTACGTCGCACACCGAGGAAAAATTTTAGATCCAACGGTTAAAACTCAAAAGTTCTTTATGTGCAATACGTCTGTTCTCATTTATATATCCATAGGTGGACTTTCACGACGAACTTAAAGCGAAAGGCTGACTCTCCCCTGAGGAGGAGAGAAAAAATAAGAGCAATGATACTGAATATAAACAAAAGTGAGGCCAAAAGCTCCGCGATCAATGGTGTTTTTGGCTCTCACGAAAATTTCTTGGACTCAATATCCACCAAGAAAATTTTGAAAATTAGGTTATTACTATGAGGGGAGAGCACAAGCTCTGTACAAGCCTAAGATTGTGTCGTTTTCATACAAATTAATTTTTACTCAAATTGGTCTTACAAAGGCTCGATGTCGATAAAAGAAAATTTTGAAAGTAAGATGCGTCCATTGGACATTATTTTTTGAAAAAAATAAAATGAATTTCGCTCTTGTAAGTTTGGCTTTTGAAAGTTGCAATTACGCTCACTGTGCAGCGGAAATGGAGCCTGACCGTCGGTATTTCAATGGACAAAGCTCCCGATGGTTGCTGCTGCTCGATCATGAGACCATTTCGAAATCGCAAAATCGAGGATTTCGCCGAGACAAGCAACTTCCGATAATTGGACCTGGAGTGGCACAATAGTAAAACTAACGACGAGTTTTGGTGAATTTTCTTATTTCGTTCCCTTATCGGGCGAACTGTAATCTAAGGCTCAAAGTTATCTCTTGAAATGTACACGAGCATCCTTCCCTCCATTTTCTTGCAAAATGCTTTTAACATCTTTACGTGAAAAAATTATCCCGAACAATTGGATTGCATTTTGCAATAAGGAACCACTATCTCTAGCTCCTCTATAAAAGCACCTTTCTGCATAGGGAAACCAATGGCATATATGCTGTTTCTAAAATGAGCAAGAAATAGTGGTTCCTTATTGCAAAATGTGGTCCAATTAGTCTGTGAAATATTTTGTCTCCGTAAACACCGTAAACCAGCTCACATAGTCGATTTTTTTTTATCAATTTAGAATTCGGACTTGAGACAGTGCGTTCTTTCTATCAAAACCATCGAAAAAGATACACCAGATAACACAAAAACATCGTCGCGACACTCTACGAACAAAGCAACATCAAATTTTGTAGCTCGACGTGCTTAAAAAGGGCTCTCCTCAAGATTAAGGAGGGGCCAGGA